CCCAAAATCCCCCATCCTCCGTCTCTGCTGCGCTCCTGACCTCCTGCGCAAAGCAAAGCCTACAGCCTCCGCTGTTCCTCCCGTATTGCTGCACTCTGACTTATTATTGGAGCTCAAGGAGAGCATACAAGGTATTATAATTAAATTATGAGCAAAACATGCAGTAACGAACGCTTAATTTAATATGATATATTAAAGAAAACCCCATCGGCATCCAGCAGATGTGTGGTTTCTGATGGAGATGAGAAATCTGCTTCTTGGTCTGTTGAAGGACCAATAGTTTGCATCCAATCTTAAATAACAGTGTTAGGTTTTTGAAAAATATAAGAATTATGCTCTAATTTGTAGTTACCGATCTGTTGTTACTATATTTTAATTTGAAAAAAAAAACGGATCTTCTCACTGTTTTTTTTCCTGTTTAGTGTGATTGCAATAGCGGATCTTGCCCTGACCGGACCGGAGCAGACCCTGAACATTTAGTTTTGCTCAACCTGCTGCTGTGAAGCAGGATTCTCCACCATGAATCAAAAATAAATATGGATCCAAGCTCAAAATGAGCACCTTGATATGTGCTTGAGAATAGCTTTATCTCCATTCAAACCCAGGTTTAAAGCCTTGCAGGGCAGCATAAAGCCCACTGCTCTGATTAAGCCACAAAAGAGAAAGAAAAAAAAAGTCAGTTCAGGTGTTATAAAAATATATGTAAATCAGGAAATTGTCAATGGAACAAACTCAAAGATTGTTATCTACTTCAAAAAGCACTTTAGATTTTAAAATGAAAAAAAAATTCTACTTTGTTTTACGTTTTTTTATTTAAAAATTCAATGTATAACATACATGCATAAACACCTCTTTTTAATTCCGTGTTAAATTGTGTTTAAAGTAACAGATAATTAAAAATGTCTCCCAACCTTTACTGGTTAATGATTTTCTTTTTTGGACCTCGCTGATTTCTAATTGGTTACCCCCCCGATCTAAACCAAAACCAAACCCAAACATCTCC